TGACTCTCTTTTAACAAAGTTATATGGTGGTTATACTATTTTATTAAGAATATGGTGATATTTTTAATATTCGAAAGTAGATCTAAAATTTGCCTGAATGAATTTTTTCGTTGAAAATAAGGATGATAATAATTCTCGTACATGTTCCATGTACTTGTTTTTAATCCAGAAGCATGGTTGGAACGCATGAAATAAGAAAAAACATCACAGCTCTGCCCTGTTTGCCCGCATAATTGAACAGAATTCAGGATCAGCAATTTTTACAATGAAAGAGTTTCACTTACATACATTCTACGCAATATATCGTTACTTCTGAGATCGAATTAATTCTTTTGTATATGAGCAATCACGAAGCCAAGGTCTAAATGCCATAATGCTGCGGCTGCTAAAGGAGAAAATATTGTTACAAATTTTGGAGTGACAAAGAGCAACAGAAACTGACAAGGTTTTTAGAAGGGCCCAGAAGGTATATCGGTTAAAATTACTGCCAGGCCTCCGACTGCCCGTCAGTGAAAAAGGCAGAAACCAGTAATAATCGGCCTATGATTCCTGGCTTGGACAGAATATGCATAACTACAAATGTATATGTACGGAAAAAGTATGTTGCCCACCATTATAAAATACTACAAGCTCACTGTGGTGGGATGTGTAGTGAACGAGTGGAAGTCGCATTCTGGATAATCTCAAACTTCGGGCAGAAAACGCCTACAGGACAGTGATGTCTAGCTTTTCTACCTGAGAGTGACTATAAAAACTTTCCCGTGTCAAAAAGATGAGAACGAGGCACTGGGTTAAACAAAGTGCCGCGATCAGACGAATTGCTTTCTTCTGAACAGCGTCAAGCATGATGACGTATGGCTGCTCTGTAGACATGATGTTAGCGTCTCAGATTGGTAAAGTCAGAGATCAAACCTATTGATTCAGTTAGATGTATTACAGAGTAAGTCCTTACTTTAAATAAACATTAGATACCTAAAAAGGCGTTTGAAACGATAGTATAAATTTGAAATTACAAACACAACACGTATTTTTCAAAATCAATACTTTTGTTGAAAAATCACATTTCGTTGTATGTTAGCCAAATAAATACATCGATTCATTTACAGCTGTTTGTCGATTATTGGAGCAGGCTGATCTAGTATGTCTATGTCTACTTTTTCGTGATAGGGCATACAAGGGGATTAATCATGATTTCTTCCTTATGAACTAGTCAAATATTCTCAAATATTTGTGTTTAAAATGTGATGGTCTATGTGTATATCCTGTATCGGGCACTTTTGAGATTCATCTGTGTTTCAGGTCTTGGTTTGTCACTCCTTAATTTGACATAAACTGTTGCATAACATGATAGATGGTATGTACCTATTATCACAGCTGAATTTCAATGCACCTCCATTCAGGCTTAGGTCTTACCTGTACTTTAAGTTAGACCGCTGCAATACAAATTTAGGATTACATCCAATCTAATTTCAATATTGTTAGTGACGTGAGTGATGTCAATGTTGATTGTCAGGACTTTTTGTTGAATAACTCAGATGAACGATATACTCAGATGAATTATTAATTATATCATTAAGTAAACGCCTCTTTATTTATTATTTATTTTTTATTTTCGTTAGATATGTAGATATATTCTTTCTGTAAGTTCATAGTTTGTCCTGAGAGTGGAATCAATTTCAGTTGGACAATAAAGCATTGTTATTATTATTATTATTAATATTATTACTAAATCTGGGATTACATTTTTAATCTTGCGTTCTTAGAATTCTGACCTGTATATGAAGCAAGCTTCCTTTTCTTAAACACAGAAAACATGGCTCATACATAATAGGGCGTCATACCATAACGAACAGCCGCTGTTCCTTGGCCGATACCGGCAGTAAATCAGTTGCAGTCACGTATAGCTTCGTCGAGCTGGAGCAGCCTGGGAGCAGGGGACATGTGAGTAGAGAGCGTGGAATAGCGTTTCAACCGTGAAAATCGGGTTAAGTCGTTTTTGAAAGGGTACGGGAAGGTTGCATCGAAAGAAAGCCTGTTCAAACATTCCTGCCATATGTCAGGAATATGTGTGGGCATCTTTATACCTGCTTAAGTAACCTTGTAGATAGTGATAGGTGAGGCGTGGGCGTTTTGGAATTGGCGTCACACCCATTTCTGTGAATGAATTGGATGTTATAGCAGTTCACATATAGTGAATTGTGGTACTCTTCAGGGCGCGGTTTTAGGACCGAAGTTATTCAATATCTATGTTAACGACCTGTACAGCCTACCACCAGCTGGTGAAATAATAAGTTTTGCTGATGACACTGTCGTCATTTATAAAGCAAAAAATTGGGAAGACCTAAAGGTAACATGTGAGCAAGATTTTAGAAATATCGTACATTGGTTCAGATCTCGCTTACTAACCATTAACTACGACAAAACATATTATATGATGTTTTTATTCTATCCCAAACACGAACAGTTAAATTTCAGTAATGAAACAATTACCAGAACCATGAAGATAAACTGTTTAGGGGCTTTTATTGATGCACACCTTCTTTGGGACACTCACATTGAACATGTAGTGAGAAAACTGAGATTTCTTATCTATAAAATTAGACACCTTAAGCATTTTCCAACACTACAGCAACTTAGAATAATATATCACGCATTAATCCAAAGTCACATCAATTTTGGTATACTAATTTGGGGATCTGTTAACAAGACTCATATAGATCAGATGGAGAAAATCTAGAAACTGATACAATAGACAAGACAATATATAATCGACCAATGACTTACTCTAGCGATATGATGTATCTACAAACCAAAATACTTGACATTCGACAAGCATGCTTTTTCCAGGTCGTCATAGAACAACACAGAAACAAAGTCGCTGTAGATTATACCACTTATAGTTACGACACAAGAAACAAAGGCAACTTACGAGTACCATTACCAGAAAAAAACATTGCAAAGATCAAACGCATTCTTAGCTCCAAGATGTTATAATTTACTACCAACAGAAATAAAGAAGAACAATAATATAAATGGATTCAAAACTAACGTAAAGAAATGGATGCTATCAAAAAATCGGTCATTCTTTCATAATGGGATTGATATAATGAACAGCTGTATAAAATAATGGAACAACAGAATACATAATTATGACAAATCTAATCCCTGATTGAGAAATAGACAAGATGCATCCTAATATACTTACCAGCGAATAATCTCATAAAATCAATCACTATCGTTCCTATAAATTTTTTATTTTATTTTGTGTTTGTGTACTGTATCACTGATAATTAAAACTTAGACATGCATGTGGGTACTTTATTTATTCGAGTATTTTGTGTTACATGTTCATGCAGTTTTAACCCTTTCGGTACGGTTGCCGGATATACCCGACAGGAAGCAATATGGCCCTGCGGCCTGGTGACGGATATATACGTTCAAGGTTATTTTGTATAATGACACTTGTGCCGTTTATTTCCGACTCTTTTGAAAACTTACATTCACCGAGAGACTGCCGACGACTTTATCCGACGTATAACGCATTGTGGATGGCCTGCTGTGGGAATAACCCGTCAATGTCGGAAATATCCGACGGCAGTCGAGCATGGTAGCATGCCATGTACCGTAAGCTTCAGAAGCGTCAGTTCGTTCGATCATGTCAAACGAGGAGGCCAGTTCGTCTCAGGGCACTAAGCGGCCGAAAAGGCGTAAAGTAGATTGTAGCGGATATTGTGGTTTAACTGAGGAGGAAGTCAATAGTATTTTAAGTCTGGTAGATGAAGATATTTACTTGTCTGACGTTAGTGAAGAAGACCCCTTTCTCGATAGCGGAAGCGAATATTGTCCATCTTCTGAGGACTCTGAGAGCGATCTGGATGAATTGGAACCGGAAAATGAACAAGAAAATCAGCAGGAAGAGGTAGGAAACGTTGAAGATAATATTACTCACCAAACAGTTCTGGAAATAATTTGGACAAAAAATGAGTTTCTACCGAAAATACACGAATTTGACACGACCAATAGCGGTGTAAAAGACCAAAACCTCGACGAAAACTCAAAGGAAGTCGACTATTTTCTTAGTTTGTTCACAGAAAACATAGTGGATGTTATTTTGGATGAAACAAATAATTATGCACGCCAACAAAATGCAAAAAACTGGAAGCATTTAGAACGTTCCGAATTTTACGTTTTTCTGGCTTTGACGTTGCTTATGCCTCGCAATAAAAAAGTGAACTTGAAGGAATATTGGTCCCAAAACCACTTACTGCTTTCACCTGCATTTAGCAAACATATGTCAAGGGACAGGTATTTTCAATTACAAAGATATTTGCATTTCTCCAATAATGAAATCGCTCCACCTGGTAATAGATTGTTCAAAGTTGAGAACGTGCTAAATATATTGAAAGAAAATTTCCAGTCTCAATTCTATCCATTTCAAAATTTGGTTATAGATGAGAGTATGATTCTTTTTAAAGGAAGACTCAGTTTTAAACAGTATATCAAGACCAAGAAACATCGTTTTGGAATTAAACTCTACGTGTTGTGTGATTGCGAAACAGGAATTGTCTTAGACTTTATAATATATTGTGGAAAAGACACTAATATAAAAGCAGAAGACAAGAATAATCTTGGTACTACAGGGGCCGTTGTTGCAAAACTTTTAGAGCCATACCTCAACAAGGGACATTCTCTTTATACGGATAATTTTTACACCAGCACTACACTTTCAACTTTTTTGTTACAACATAAAACAAACTCCTGTGGAACTGTAAGGCAAAATAGGAAACATATGCCAGTAGGTATTTGATAAAAAATTAAAACAAGGAGATACTGACTGGAGAAGTAGTAAAAATTTATTGGCAATAAAATGGAAAGATCGGCGGGATGTTGTGATGCTGACCAGTATGCATGAAAATAGAATGGTTACTTTGCCGAAAATAAATCGATCTACATATGAAAATGTAATAAAGTCGTTATGTGTTCTGGAATACAACCGTCAAATGGGGGCTGTCGACAGATCAGATATGATGCTGAGTAGCGTAGATTGCACTCGAAAATGTCTGAAATGGTATAAGAAGTTATTTCTCCATTCGATTAACATAACATTGCTAAACGCACATGCAATGTTTTCCACAAGACATACTAAGAAGACTTCATTCGCCAATTTTCATCTAGCGGTTATTGCTCAACTTCTAGAAAGGTAAAGATTTCTTTGTAGTTTTCGATCCTATTTGCTAAATGCTTTTTTTTGCAGGTATGGCATAGTAAAATCTATACATTGCGATTTGGGCAATGCCAGGCTTCAGAATAGACACTTTCCGGTGTCAGTTCCACGAAAACCAGGCAGTACTAAGGTTGGATCCAGAAGATGTTGGGTTTGTTCCCATACAAAGCAGAAGCAAGCAAAAAGAAAAGAGTCCAGCTATATGTGCCCAGAATGTGACGTTGGATTATGCGTGGTCCCTTGCTTCAAAATATATCACACAGAGGCTACTTTTTAATGTTTAATGTTCTAATGTTCAATGTGTTTATGTTTTCTGTAACTTTATCTAATAAAATAATTGTTTTAATATAACTTGCTCATATTATTTCATAAAATGTGGGTAGTTTTCTTAGGTGACGGATATTTCCGACGGCAGGCCAATGACCAATGTAAAAGTCTCAGGCCGTAGGAATAAAAATGTTCAGTGACAAGCCGTACCGAAAGGGTTAATAGTATATAATAATTAATAATAATTATTATTATTATTATTGGAGAAAAATGCTTTTAAGATTATTAATTATCTACTGTCAAATGAGGATCATTAAAGCAAACATTCTCTTTTGATGGATGGCTGACTTTCTCACTCACTTTCTTTGCTTAGTCTTATGAAGATTGAAACTTCAGAGCGGACGGATTATTCGTCTCAATTAAGAAAAACATGGATTACTTCAGCTTCTTTACCGATATACCAACAAAATTTGTTCCTTTCGTTACTGTCTACATATTCTATATCATCTCAATATGCTGTTTTGAACTGTCGCGTCACTTATGCATTTTTAGCATACAAGTTCGTGATCGTTTGAGCGGAGGAGCAAACAAAGTAATCCACTCAGAGTTCCAATTTCAGGGCAACTTAAACAGAAAATAAAAAATATAACTAAAGCGATTGTGAACAATGAAGCAAAAAAAGAAGACACCTATTATTAACAAGTAAAAATTAGTAACAAGAGACAAACGTATGAACATACAACAGTATGTCGCAGTAACAGAAGATAGAAGGTTTCTGAAAGAATCAGTATGCACATCACGATTATCTACAGTAGCATTGTTTAACAGCTACGTGCAAATGCCAGTTGATTCATAAGCTAGTATTCAGTGTCTTCAATCTGAAAAAATCGTAAGAATGCAACATAACTAGGCAGCAGCGGTAGCCGCAGTAGTAGACTCTTCGGTCTCCTGATCCGTCGCCGTGCGCTGTGCGGGTTCGAGTCCCGTCCCAGGAGAAATTTTTCTCTTGGCTTTGGATGTTGTGATTGTCCGTAGGTGGTAGATGGTCTCTGATTATCGAACGCGGAGGTACCACCCGGCGGTTCTCGTAGGCGGAGCCAGAATGTGTGCATGTTGCATGCACATGTGTTCCCTCGCCAGAGTCCGTGTGGCGTCCCCCCCTTTCCCATGTATCCCCCTACAGCCCCACGGTACCCAATGGGTGCTTAGGCCTTAGGCCTTCGTGGTAGTTGGAGTATAAAAAAAAATAACTGGGTGAACATTGAAATATATTTGAAATAGTACATCTGGGTAATTTATGACTCCATGAAGGAGCTTGAAAAGAGTTGATACCAAAATATTGATTTTTCTCAATCCAAGCAGTCCACGTTGAAATTACTACATAAAAGCTCACCGATACTCCTCTTAGTATAGACTACCTAACTTTCGAATACAAATATTTGATAAGACCGTCTGCTTTTGGTAAGGGTAATAAGTTTTTCCAACAAATTGACAATATTTTAACATAGACCTAACAAACGCAAAATATATTGTTTTCAAAGCCTCAACACTGCTTAACATTCTCCAATTACGAGTACTATAAATCCGCACATATTGGCAGATTCATTCACTTTTCGCTTAATTGTATATGCATCTTGAAGTTGAGAATAGTTCAACTAAGCTTATTGCTAACGCGCCCCTCACTTGAAATACGATCATTTTGCTGCGATAGGAGGCATTGGTGGAGGCTGTTAACGCTAAAAAAGATTTTCAAGTCAAGAACTTTGAGAACAACAAATCGCTTAGAGAAGAGCTTGACCAGGAGGGCGCTTTATGGAAAATTAAGCATTTGCCACTTTAAATAAGTTGCCCATACTTTGCAGCTTCGGTATTTTCACATACCTGGTTCTAGGCTCACTTGCGGGGTATATGCAGCCTTTGGAGTAACCTAATTTCCGTATCCATTTTCACCATTTCTCTATCTCTCTCTCTCTTTGCACTTGGAAAACGGACGTATTTCGAACCGATACGGCATCGGCATTACAATATTCTCATTGGCATTCACCAACAGCTGCTATCTTTGATTCAATACCACAAATCAGTCTAAATTTAATTGGAGATATATACACAATCGTTCCATGCGTAATAAATTTATAAGCCCCGCTTCTGATTTAATACCCGTTACGAGTCGGATTTATTTCAGGTATATATAATGATATATCTCCTATCTTTATCTATATTATTCCAAAAGCGCGTTACAAAGAAACCCTTTGCCTTGGTAAACTTGTGTGCGAGGGTACACAGTAACAGACAAAAAGCCAAAAGACGACGCTATAAATAACCAGTTATAAAGCTCGTGAGCCGTTTTTGCTTCCCACGTATTATTTGCACTCAAACAGGACTGGAGCTGACGAGAGTTTTGTTCTGTAAATTCAGGAATGCTTTTTCGTGGAAATATTTCCCACCTCTATGCATGCAGCTCATATTTTACCTGCTGCAAATTCACGGGAAGTGTTTAGTCCAGGAAATATATTCGGACTACTCGAATCAATATACTCGTACACATTGTGTAAAATCCTTTCTGCACATATGAGCGATACTGACATAGGACAGACTCGGAATCATACGGAAAATGTGCAGGTGCGTAAGAGACAATATGTTGAGGACACAATTTGGCAACGTCCGAACGTGGCGAAGTAAGGAGGATGATAACAGAGGGAGACTGTGATAGCTGTGGCCCGCTGCTGGGAGCTGAGTTGCCAGGCGTTACAGTTTCAACTGGCGATCAAAAATGATAACGTAACGATTGACGACTTTGGTGGCAGTCACTATGTTACAGTATCTTGCGTATTTAATTTTTCCAAACTCCTATCATATAGAAAACCATTCTCACTCTGCGGTGCCACAGTTGACGTTTCTAGCCATTTTTTGGCGAAAGTCATGTTCTTTGCGGAAAATACAGAACTAAAATTGGTACTTTAAGGGACGTTAAGACAGGGCTGTAACTTTGACATCTGTGCATCTGAACGAGGATGTGACATTGAGATTTGTACACATGCTCAAAACATAATATTTAACTGCCAGGCACAAACATTTTTATTTTTCTTGCCCATCATGCGCAAATTCACGAACTTCAAGCTTGGTCTTCGAAGAACCTCGCCGATCTGATATTTTCTTCAACAGATGTCAGCCTACAATCTGAATGATGAATTTTGTTTTTGATCGCATTTAGTGACGTCGCTCGCTTCTCTCAGGTGTTGAGAGAAAACATACTGCCAAGATTGCCACTGCCCATATTTCATTTTCCCCAAAAATTCAAGTCGAATTCCCGGAATTTGGGGAGAAGAACTGCATATTCCCCACAAACATCCTACAAAACTATTTTAAGAAATTAAATAAGCTCAAACTATTTAAACGATTTTTTTATTGTTCAAATTAGGCTTTTTTATTTATTTGTTGAAGCCTTTTTCATGATGGACTGAACCTCACACTTCCGCCACAGATTTTTAATCCCTTCTCTTGTTGTCATTAGATATGTATCTGTATTGAGTCGTCTGCGGTTTTCTGTCTCGCAATTTTTAACAACACTAAACTTTCACTTGACAGAATTAGCAATAAAGATATTACATCTTTATATTCGGGAACAAGTAGAGAAGGCTTAATGCCAGTCTCCAATAAATCTCCACTTAACTTGAGATTCCAGGCAATTTGGGGAATTCCGCACAAATAGGCGACCCTGCTCATTTGCTCATTTCTCTTTCCATTGTTTCACGTGTCAGTATGATCCTTTTAATGGAGGAGAGTGGATGTATGCACCACATTTCAGTCTGAGTATTTACGTCCTCAGCAATTTAAGTGATTTTGAGATTGCACAAAAATCACATAGATCATATTACTTATTTGTATGTGTGGATAATTTGCTTTGCAGCAATAAAGGCTATGTCTCATAACAAAAATAAAAATATATTCCAACAAAAAATAAAAAACCTTAAAAATGTAATGCACTATTGAAAATTTAAATAGATATTTTGAAAACTCACAAATTAAAAGAAAAAGGTTTAAATCGTCCTTCATAGCTCGGGCTTAAAAACATCTCCTTTATGACCACCTTTACTTTTCCAAGCCTAAAAACAGGATGGAGCTTTGGGAGTGGACGACGACGTACGGGTCGAGAAGGAAGCAACCGACTCTGCGCTGTTGCCAGATTTATTTCCGTCAATTACTCAGACTATCTTTCTTGAACCCGCGGTCGCCAAATCATCTTCATAGGCAGCTTTTCCATTAAGAGGTGCATCCAACTCTTTGAATCTTCAATTCAATAGTTAGATTAGTAAGGTCTTCAACCTATATGTAGCAGCAGGTGTCTTTTGCCTTCACGACTACTTCAGTACAAAATCGGTGTCCTCCAATTGGTTATGAATAAATATTCTCACATTTTTTTTGACGTTACAGTTTTTTTACACTAAACAGCCTTCAGAAATTTGATGCTCTGTTAAAGTACACAATCACGCAAGCAGTATGTGCAAGGTACTTTTATAGACCATTAAATTTGTAAAGATGGTTAAGTATAAAATAAACCGAAACGGCAAAGGAAACGTGAGAATATTCATTCATAACCAACTGACCAAAATACCATAAAAACAAAGAATTTACAAGGAAACGGTCGTCAACCAGATATTCTTTACTTATCAACGAAAATGCAAAATAATTAGTGTTGTTAAAAAACTAAACAACCAATTTTAATCGGTTAAATTATCATCTGAAATTAAAAAGGACAGTCAGTTTCCGTTCGTAGGCGTCTTGATTAAAAGTAATTACGAGAAAAACTTAAAATTTAAGATTTATAAAATATGGCGTCAAGTAGGTTAACTCTGTACTTCCCACGCAACGCCTACAATAGTTCCACAAACCTTATTTCCTGGATAGAGGATAGTTGCTTGCTTCAGTTCGTTGTTCCAGAGACCAAACCTAGACCATGCTGATGAGTTTCCAAAAGGAAAAAAACAGCTGTCTTTAGTCGGACAGAGGAAA